TTTTTTTTTTTTTTTTTTTTTTTTTTTAGCAGTATAAATCACAAATAATTGACCATTTATTATGAAGTTAGATTTTAAGGTGACAGATATCTCCTTAGCATGAGGGGTTAAGAATTTGTGTTTATCTAGCAAATACGCCTTGGTTGAAGTGTTTTACAATTTGCAAATTAGAAACAAATTCAAGTTAAGAGGGTATTTACTACAACATCATCAAAAAAGTTTCAGCAAATAGGGGGATGATTGTGATATGAATATGCTGGTTAGGGATCGTCATGGCCTATATATGGCCTGGTGGAGATGAAGACGGTTTTAGTAATGCTTCAGTAAATCAGCTGTATAAACTAGCGATCTGAAAATGGTTGGAGTTTGAAAATTACCAACTTTTTCCCCCCCTTTTTTCATCTTTAATTTGTTTCTTTGATCCTTACTTTCTTTCCAAGTACCAGACGGTTAAATTATGTGTCCGTCTTGATTTTAATGATGTTGCTACAGTTACATGCCTGGAACATTCCTCCATGATGAGTTCATTTGCGATCGAGTTCACACGACCATACGTTCCTAATTGTTTGTTCAGTTTTGTCTCTCATTTCCCGGGTTTCCTTTGCCTCGGCTCGGATAGAGGTCTATAGATTGAATTGTTTGTTTTTAAGGTTGGTCCTTGTTAATGATTGCACCTTGTATGCTTTACCGCAGCATATAGATATCTATGCACACTACAAGAAACATGTTTAGTAGGAAGAACTAAATATTATGGGCCCGTTACGGAACTATTCCGACGGGGTTTGTAACCGTTAGATCAACTATCCACGACGGTTACATGATGATCTAACGGTTACAAATCCTGACGGAATGGTTTTGTAACGAGACTGTAGCATTTTCCAATATTATGTCAAGTGTTATCGATTATAGACACCCGACTATTTTATGTTGTTACTATAACAACAACTTCTCAATAGGCACGGACAACACTTCTTAATAATGAGCACGATATGGTTGTCGTGCCTGATAAACATGTTTGTTCTAGTATAGTAATAGAAATATGGTTTACAGACATTTGTAGACCAACATCGGACTCTAGAAAACCAATGTTTTGTTGCACTACTGTTTAAAAGAAACTCATGTATGGCAACAATACATGTAAGAAAAATTCAATAGAAAAATTCAATTGGATAGACCATACGCATCAATGTTAGCTGTCACGATTCAATTATATACATCAAAAAAATTGGTAAATGCTAGTAGAAGTTGGCAGCCATCAAGATATTGTCATTTTGACCAAACCAAATGATAGGTTTTGTTATCTTTACATTGTTTTCGTCCCCTTTATTTATATGAAATTGTAATAATTTTATATCCGTTAGCTGGCACCAATATTCTTTTCCTGAGTAAATAATGTGTGAAATAATAAATAAATAAATAAATAAAAACAACTTGTGAAGCATAGCAATTTAATTTAATTTGGACAGCATGAACAGCATGTGATAGTCAAACGGTACAATCACTTAGTGCCAAACATTTTCCTATTATCCCATGTGAGCCCAGCACACACTCACATTCAAATTTCTTCACCCATAATACCACCTATAAATGGCTGCTAAATAGACGAAACTTGCCTACACCAATAAAAACTTGAGTTGCAATGGCAACAGATCTAAGTTTCCTGTCATTGGTGGTCATATGCAGTTTCTTGCTGATAGGCCTTTCATCTGCTGATTGGAACATACTGAACCAAAGGATATCTAAAAGTGGACTCCAAATCACACTGAAGAACTATTGCGAGAGCTGGAGAATGAATGTGGAGCTACACAACATTCGCGATTTCGAGGTTGTCCCCGAGGAATGCGTCGAGTACATTGGCAAATACATGAGCTCGACTCAGTACAAGGTTGACTCGGAGCGGACGACCGACGAGTGCACGGTTTATCTCAGTACGAACTGCGGTCTGAAAAAAGATGGGGCCGACGCGTGGATTTTCGACATTGATGACACGCTCCTCTCGACCGTCCCTTACTACAAGAAGAACGGTTATGGGTAGCATTTCAATCTAGCAGCGTAATCTTTTATTTTCGATTAATATGTATTAGTTGGTAAGATACCATCTCCTCTTTTCTTTTCCTTTTGCAGGGGAAAGAAACTGAACTCAACGTCTCTAGAGGAGTGGATGAAGCAGGGCAAAGCCCCAGCTTTGGAGCACTCCTTGAGGCTTTTCAATCGGCTAAAAGGGCTTGGAGTTCAGATAATTTTAGTATCCTCAAGAAGGGAATGTCTGAGATCAGCCACCATCGACAACCTTGTAGATGTCGGATACCATGGCTGGAAAAGTCTCATTCTAAGGTTTGAACATCATTGTCAATCACCCATAAATAAATAATAATAATAAAAAATATTAAAAAAAATATATATACACGGCTAATACATTCTTGAATTATGATACAGGGGTGCAGATGATTTGAAGAAGGATGTGCAGAAGTACAAGGCTGATGTGAGGAAACAATTGGGCAAAGATGGGTATAGGATTTGGGGCATTTTGGGAGATCAATGGAGCAGCATTGAGGGGCTTCCTACAGCCAAGAGATCATTCAAACTCCCAAATCCTCTCTACTATGTTGCATAATGTTTTTTTTTTTCCCAATTCATTTGTTCTTTCCTCGAGCAAAATAATAAAATCGGGCATTGATTTATCAAGACTCAAGAAATTGTATTGAACAAGAAACGCAGTTCACAAACCAAATCTAAATCTTATTGACCGTTAAACAACAACAAAAAAAAA